AACAATTCACGTGATTGGCTTTCTGAACATCGACTTGGTGAAGGTTCAGATGGGTGATCTGGGCGGCACAGAACGTAGGGATGTTTTTATCAGGAATTCTATCTTCCTCTAAGATGTTCTAGAGTGTAAAACATGCATGCTTGTATAAAGGAGCATCTTTATAGCAACACATGTATTCCATAGACATTCTTGACAACAATATTAATATTTTTAAATACATGTATGTACTCGCGTAGCTCCATCATAATTTCTGATAGAGGATCTACAGTTAATGTAACAGATTAACCGATCTTGTATCGTTTGTTTCCAATAATGATATTTTGTTTCATTAATAGTCGATAAAGTAACCCATCAGCATGTGTACAGGGATCCTACTTGAGAGGTACAGAGAAAGCTGGATTAATCAAGATTTTGCCAGATGTGTCCTAAAACATTTCCGCATCATATACTTAGGTTACATGATATCGGAGTGCAAGTATTATGAATAGACATTGTATTAAGTGTATATTTCTACTGCAGGACCCCATCATCTTCTAACTCATAAGATAAGATAAGATAATTTCTTTATTATCCCCAAGGGAAATTTGTTTTGCATCATATGCAGTTCTCCAGTTTTTCTTTCATAAAGCAGCCATATATAACATTGCAAGTGATAATCATAAAACTATTGTTTAAAATAATCAGGATATAACTACATCAATTTAGTACACAAACATTGATATTGACTAGAATTTGGACAGTTGGAAGACAAGTTATTCATCGAGTTTGTTGTTATTACATCTAATACTAGTTGGAACAAATGAGTGGGAACCTTGTTTGTTCTAAAAGTCGGCATACACAGCCTGCGTCCAGAAGGTAATGATGAATATTCCGAAAAAGTATGTGAGTAGGATCACTTAAAATTTTAGTTTGCCTTTTTGAAATTTGCTGCTCATAAATACTGCCGATACTCTCGATAGGAAGCCCAACAATTTTAGACGCAGTGTTTACGATTTTGAGAGTTTGATTTTATTCTGGACAGACAGGTTCCCGAACCAACTCAAGAAATTAGAGGTTATGACATTTTGAATAAAGGTTTTGTAAAATATATATCATGATAGTTTGGTCGATTATAAAATGTTTCAACTTCCACAAAAATGCAAGCGTTGTTGACCTTTCTTATATATTTTCTCGTTCCAGGAGAGTTTTGAATCTAAGACAGTACCCAAATATTTGTATTCAGTTACTCTTTCTATTTCATTATCTTCAATACTAACAGCATTTATTGTTGACTTTTCTAAAAATCTATGATCATTTCCTTGTTTTTTTGCACATTCGAAAATAAAAAGGTTGATTTATACCATTTTACAAATTTTGAAATTTCAGCTCTGTAACTAAGTTCTGATTCCCTAACAAAGCCTACCAATGCAGCAGCATCAGCGAATTTAACTGTAAAACATGTTTCTGCGTTGGATACACAGTCATTGGTGTACAATATAAACCAAACTGGTGAAATAACGCAACCTTGTGGAGCGCCAGTTCATGTGTTTACAATTGATGATTTCACATTATTAACCTGTACAAATTGTTGTCTGTTAACTAAAAAGGAATTAATCCATTTGATGATGTTAGAACTAACATTCATTCTGAAACGTTTATCAATTAACAAATGAGGTTGAATAGTATTAAAGGCAGATGAAAAATCAACAAACATTATTCTCACATAAGTACCATAGTTTTCTAAATGCTTATAGATATTGCATAACAGAGTGATTGTTGCACCTTCTATCCCACGCCTTGCTCTGTATGCAAATTGTAACGGGTCAAGAACATGGCATTATTCAACAATAAGGTCTTAACAATGCGTTCTAAACATCTCATGGCAATAGAGGCTAGGGCCACTGGTCTGAAGTCATTATTAGCAGAGGGTTTTTCTTTTTGGCAATGGAACCATTTTAGAGGTTTTCCAAAGAATGGGAACATTATGAGAATTAATTGATATCTGAAATAGCTTTGAAAAATAACAGCCAGTTGCACTCTACATTCCTTAAGAACAATCCCAAGCAAGTTATCAGGCCCACAACATTTATGTGGAATTATCTTAGCGAATGAAGTAATCACATCATCTGTCGATATATTTAACATTTGACAAGGTGGAAACGATTCCAATTATGCAAGTTTCCTTTCTTCTGAAAAAATTCCAGTAACAAATCGGGAGTAGAAGGAGTTTAACTCATTTGAAAAAGATTAGTCGTCGATGGATTCCAACTGTCGAGGTCTAATATGTGTGTTATAACCTCTTTCTCACATAATGTTATAATACATTCTCTCGTCACATATGGTTCCTGAACATGACAGGGCTTTTAATGTGCGGTGAATATATTGCTGATGGGTCAGCGGTTTAGTCAGCACGACACTGACAACAGACATTGCTCCAAGTGAACCTTGTGTTTTGGCAGTGGTCTTACTACCATGCAGACAATTACCCACACCTCGTGTCAATGATCACCTTCGCTGCAATCTGCTGGACTGTCGGCGAGACACCTTCCGCTATTTGGTACTAATAGTGGTGAGGTAAGTGCACCACCGTTTTCCTAAGTAATAGTTTCCAAGTCTTTAAATAAGTAAACTGTACTGTTTGGAACAAATCCAAGTCGAGGCCAAAACGCATTGTTATAGGATATACTCAGACTGTGCTCACATAACGGCTTGTCAATATATACTGTTTGAAAAGTAGGGATATTCCATGTGGAGGTCATAGTATTTGAAACCAAGTTGTATGATCGCATATGGATTTAGAACATGATCATTGCACTCATAACGTGTGATATATTTCGTGCAAAATCAGCAAGTTTGTACAAGTGTTTGTCATGATGTGCACGTGAACATAGTAGGGGTAAAATTTGCTGTGAAACGTATCAGTGTGTTCTTGCACATTTCAGTGATAAACACCAGACTGAAAGATGTTTGTGATATTGTCTTAAACTTAAACTCTTTTTACATGCGGCGTCTGCATCTGGAGCGATTTTCCAACACGGTATCACGTGACCATACGTTGTTGGAGTTGTACAGCAGTATCAGTACAATGTCAGTGTGTTACCCTGGCCAACAGGATCCCATGATTTGGTCATCCATTGAACAGGTCTGGGATGAAATATAGCAATGTTTACAACGTTATCCGAATTCTCTAACAACGCTACATGAACTCCGCCAAAGTTATATGGATATGGAATAATCATTCCCAGAATTTTGATTGAAGTTTCATGGCCTCATTGAGGCGAATGTGCCAGGCATGCATCAATGCACAAGGTGGACACACTTGTGAGCTAGCTTGTGAACACCCCATAGCATTGTGGCTCATTGCCATGTGCGCCGTTCTTATGGACTGCTGATTGTTACCTTGAAATATTTGTCTGTCATGTAGTAACACATCACTGATTCTGTTTGTTGTATGTGTGTTACAATAACATCTGCCTTTGAGTATAGACTATTCCTTACATGTATCTCACCCTCTAACGTTCGTGGTTCGATACGTTATCTGTGTCAACTTTACTGGCGCAGTGAATCGTCAACCGCACAGAGAACCTTTTCTTAAATACCTGGTGTCAGCACCGACTTTCAGTGATCTATTCATTCAATTTTCATCGCTGTGTATTTTACGCCAATGCAATTTGTTTAGGTGGGTAATCCAGTCTGGTTAACGTTCTATCTTATACAATGAATCTTGTGGATCTAAAAAAACGTAGAGCCAACAGCTCCCATCTTGCACATGGAAAAGACTATTGTAAAGACCCAAGCATGTGAAAAGCATCGCTCTTTATGTCTCGTAAAAAGTTTGCAAAATAGTGGTTGAAAATGTTGAAGATGACCAAGAAATATTGGCAAGGACATGTTTGTATGATGAACAGGGATGTTTTAATTCGGTTACAAAATTCAGGACCTGCCTTTGTGGATTAGGATTTGGAGACTTCATTTCAAATGTACGAAACCAAAACTATATTATTTAAATTTCAACAAGTGTTTAGAGGCAATTCCAGCACAACTTATGAGTTTATCTTGTGACAGTACATTTTGGACCCATCTTGGATTTGTTTTAAACATTTCTCTGGCAAAGTGAATTAACCGCAAGTGTAAACTTTGCAAAGCAAAACATTGATTTAATGTCAATATTACCTGTAAATCGTAACGTCAGCTCATTGAAGAACTACCCTTTCTCGTTTTCTATTCGATTGTCAAAATTGCAAATGTATTGTAACGGGTCAAAACATCTGAGAATTTGAAACTTTATACATTAAGATTTGTTAAAACAAATTATCATTTTCTTGTATCTCCAGCTTTATTCAGATAAGAGAAAAATATATTAACACAAAAGTATAATATTAACCCACACATTCACAAGTTTAATATGTTTATGTCATCGACAAACACACTAATATACATCAGTTGACTTCTTTGATTGGCATTCTAGAAGTTGGGTAGATGAAGAATGAGGACTATTTTCATGGATATACAACTTCTTTATTCTATATAGGCGACGTTTCGACATAGATTCTGATATCGTTGTCAAGCAAGTGGTACATGGGAAGTAATTTTGGTTATATATATACATGAGATGTTTGTGCAATAGATGAGGGATGAGGCGAAACTGAGTTGTTTATATAATAGAAGAGGTTGATAACACAGGATTAAGTAGGTTGATAGGAAGCCAGTAAAGAACATGTACATGATTATATACATAAGAGATTAAGGATGTTGATGGGCGGTCAGTAGGGAATGATGTACATAGGTTGTTTACATAGGTGATAAAGAGAATGTTGGGAAGCCAGTGTTGAAGTGATGTTTACACAATGGATAATGTACAGTGTTACACAATGGATAATGTACAATGGTTGAGTAGGGTTACATGAAATTAATTGAGCAAGTGGTGATAGGCCTTGGGGATGAAATATCCTTCATCTCTGTTGATGGCTCGGCAAATCGTCTTTATGTGGACAGCTTCAAGTAGTTTTCGGGTTTTGAAATCAGGCTGGTTCCCTCTCGATGACTTTGGTGGTGTTCCAACTAATGTTGTGGTTTGGGTTGGCTTTAAGGTGGTCGGTTATCGCGGATTTAGAGTCTTTGTTTCTTACTGTGGCCTGGTGTTCTTTGATCCTAATGGTGACTGCTCTTGATGTTTCATCAATATAGGATTCGCCGCAGTCGCAATCTATCTGGTAGTCGACACCTGCGGGATCTGGCATCTTTGCCGGGGTGGGTCTGCCTGTGGCCTGCAGGAGGTTCTGTGTAGTGTTGCCTCTTTGGAAGATGACATCAATGGTGGCTTGCTGTTTGAGGAGTCGTCGGATGTGATGGCTAGTTGGTCCAATGAAAGGGAGGCTGATGGTGAAGGGGGCTGCTTGCTGTCGGGGAGGTTTAGTGTCAGGGTTGAGGGTGTTGTTGATGGTCTGGTCAACAAACGATGCAGGCTATTTGTTGTAGTTGATGAAGACGTCTCTCAGGTGGTCCAACTCGGTGTCTAGTGATGCGGTTGTGGAGCAGATGTTCTTGGCTCGTCTGGTCAGGGTTGAAATTATCCCTCTCTTGACTTGGAAAGGGTGACTGGGGGAAATGGAGGTACTGGTCCTTATGTGTTGGTTTGCGGTAGACGCTGGTGTTGAGCCTATTGCCATCTCTTTGGACTGGGACATCTAGGAAGGGAAGCTGGTTGTCTGTCTCTAATTCCATGGTAAAGTGCATCCCCTGACAGCATCATAGAACTCATCAACGGATGCATCAGTTCCACCTACTTCACATGGAGAGATAAAATAGTGCAACAGAACCATGGCCGCCCTATGGGTTCCCCACTATCCCCCCCTCATCACCAAGATCTACATGATCCACCTAGAAGAAACCGCTCTTGAAACGTCCCCAATCCAACCCACCTGCTTTTGGAGTGGTTTGAAAGTTATTTAGATAGTAGAATGCAGAAAGTGGTAATAAATGGATATAGTTCAGGTATCAAATCTGTGGAAGCTGGTGTACCCCCAGGGTTCCGTATTAAGACTTCTGTTCCTCATTTATATTAATGACATTGTAGATGGTATAGACAGTAACATTCGCCTTTTGCTGATGATACATCAATATATGCTATAATAGATGATCATATTACAGCAGCCGCAATTATAAACAATGATTTGGCAAAATTTCAGACTGGGCCAGAAAGTGGCAGGTAAGTTTTAATCCTACTAAGACTGAGAGTATAACATTCACTCGTAAAAGGAAAAATAATGCCAGGCCGAACTTACTAATGAATGGCGAAACTATTAAAGAAGTTGATAACCATAAACACTTAGGTATAACACTTCAAAGCGATTGTTCTTGGAAAGTTCATATAGGTGACATGGTAAAGAAAATTAGTCCAATGATCAATTGTCTGAGAAGTTTGAAATATCGTTTATCTCGGAAAACGCTAAATACTTTATATAACTCCTTTATCTTACCACTTTTTGATTATTGCTGTCATATATGGGATAATTGTACGATTGAACAGGCGATTTTACTGGAAAATTTACACTTAGACGCATTAAGAACTATATGCGGTGCGGTTCGTGGCACCAGTCATGATAAAATATACAAGGAAACCAATTATAGCACACTGAAACAAAGACGATATCGCTCTAAACTTATAACTTTCTATAAAATGTATCATCGTCTGACTCCTGATCATCTGAATGATCTTGTACCAGGTAGAGTATTTCAACAAAGCAACTATAATCTTAGAGATAGTACTTCCATTCAAACTATTAACTGTAGAACACAAAGATATTCTCAATCATTCTTACCGAGCGCGATTATGTCGTGGAATTCATTGCCCGATGGAGCTGTTAACGCTATTTCCGTGAGGCAGTTTAAAACCATGATAAATCCAACAGAAACTGACAACTACTTTGATTTAAATTTTGGGACTAGATTTTGTCAAATCATCCATTGTCGCCTCAAGCTCGGCTGTAGTGATCTGAACGCAGACAGATATAATCGACATATATCAGAAACAGCTAAGTGTTCATGTGGTCATTATAACGAAGACGTCATTCACTACCTTTTTACATGTCGGAACTATCAAAATTTAAGAACAACGGTGTATTTTTATATTCAAGGATACGATGTGAAAACTACCTTATACGGTAACGGCGCATTGGATAACTCAACAAATTGTGACATTCTCAACTCATTACACCAGTTCATTTCTAAAAGTAAGCGCTTCCAGTGATTATCATCTCTACATATACATGTATATTCAATGCAAGACAAGATTTATATAACTTGATTTTCTGCGGCAGCTCTTTTCGTTACTAGGCACAATCAACACCATAACCAAATATTTATTATTCAATCATTTTTTCTGAGTGTAATTTTGTCTCAATATTATTCTTTTCTTGTCCGTCTATTTCAAATATGTATCCAGCTATATTGGAACCGTGTACTGGAGTGGCGTTTATATAAGCCACTAGGCTTGTTCGCCTATCCAGGTTTCCGCATTGACGGAATAAAAATATGTTTAAACCAACCCACCTGCTGGTTCCGTAAAGTAGATGATACTTTTGTCATCCTTCCTCCATCTGACGACCCCAACTTCCTTCTCCAACACCTGAACTCCCAACACCCCCGCATGCAGACAACAGACAACCAGCTTCCCTTCCTAGATGTCCTGGTCCAGAGAGATGACAAGAAGCTCAACACCAGTATTCGGCAAGTAGAACAGTATATTCAGTATAATAAACTCAAAATCATAAAAGATTTATTCCAAAATCTTATTATCTTATTTTCCAGTTTTTGTCCATTAGCAATTTGAATTGTTGGAAAAAGGTCTGAATCTTTGACATTCAGGTTCTTCCTGATTATGCCTATAATTATTCTTATTTTTTAAACAGAAAACCATTGAAACACAGTGAGACATTTTAATTGCGTAACAGATCAATTCAAACATATATCATAATAGCACTGTACACATCTGTGTAAATATTTAAGGAAACGTGCATGATCATATTGACAGTATAGCTTATGCTTGCAAAAAGTGCCGATAGTTTCCAACTGATATAATAAACTGGCTGAAGTACTGTTAAACGCAACCGAAGTTGCGCTAGATAGGAACCAAGTCACTGCGTGCGTTAAAGCATGACGAGGCACACACTAATTAGTACATATATGGTAAAGAAAGCAAGCGAGTGACCTATCCTTGCTGTAGATTATCCCTGGAATTACAAATGAAAAGAAATATTTCATATTCAACAATTTCTTAATTTTGACTGTTCCGACGGGTATCTTTTGATATTGTCTGTAAGTACACGCATACCATTGCCGAGCCGCATTTACAATTGCACTGAGTTATTTCGCATGTTGTATTTTAACAAATTAATAAATAAGCTCCTGTGCTGAGGCTTATCTTGCTGTGATTTCTGTTCTGTTTCATGAATCAATGTATCATTGAAGCAGTATGTCAGATACACAGTTTCCAACACAAGGTAGTATCTGTGTGTTGTTCTATGAAGCCATATCACATAAAGATGATAGAACTCCAGTCTGAGTAAACTTAGGCTCAGTATTGTTCGCTACACTGCTATACTGAGTCTAACAAAACCTAGTAGAAGGTCGCGTCAGCTAACCTTTTGGACTGAACAATCAGAACACAGCTTACCAAATCGCGAAAGTTAACATTCGCACATACCATTTGAACCTTTACCTAAAAAACTCGAACGATTCCGAATGCTATTTTCCGCACGATCGCTTCCGAGTGATACACGCAATGAGTAAACAGTCGCTGAAAGTAGCGTTTTTGTCAATATTCAAGGATGTCACCTTGCGAAAATATAAGCATATAGTAACCATGTCATTAGAAACCAATAAGCGTATATACTGCAGGTCAAATATCTGTGTTTTATGCGAATTTTCGTTTGTTGATAGATCAGTGTCAGCGACCAGGGAAGAGAAAATCCAAAAACCGTTTGTAAGTCCCGCCGAACCCTAACAAGTAGTCGTTGTCTGATTGGTTAAATCCGTTCGGCCGTCTCGCGTTTGATTGGACGGTTATAGGTCGCTCAAAGGTTAGCTGACGCCAAAATGTTTTTCACCCTGGGGCGAGATTTTTAACATCACTCTAAATTAGCCGAATTAAATCAAAATGAGTTGAATTTTGTGTCATGGTACTCATAAATATACATTCATTCATGTACATCCTTCAAAACATGGAAAACATGTATTTTGAGTTAAAGTAAATATTCTCGCCCATGGGCCAAAATGTTTTTCCCCAATAGGCGAGATTTTTAATATCGCTCTAAATTAGCCAAATTAAGTCAAAATGAGTTGAATTTTTGTGTAATGGTACTCATAAATATACATTCATTCATTTACAACCTTCAAAACGTGAAAAGCATGTATTCTGAGTAAAGTAAATATTCTCGCCCATGGGCGAGAGATTTTTAGCATCACTCTAAATTAGTCATGGTGCTTGAAAACATACACTCATTCATTTATAACCTCCAAAACATGTAACTAAACATTTAGCGAGTTTAAATTTTGAGTTTTCGAAAACAAAAATCATTTTTTCATCCTTAGCATATATTCATAACAACTGCATGTTTAATTTGGTCAAATCAATTGTCAGAAAGTGCCCACAGTGCGGAGAGTTTCTGGACTTTTGTGAGTCCAGAATTAAATTGTGACATGTTAATTAATTAAAGCTTACTTGGTGTTGGTATATAACAGAATTGCTATTTTTAGTCAAAACTTAAAGGTCACATGCAACCAAAAAATCAAACATAATTAAAACACAATTATCACTTATTCATGACATATAATATACATTGCTGGTTATGAAAAAACATATAAACAAAATTATAAGCGTACAATCGCAAATCAAAAGTGCAATATTGTGTACTTGGGTTTACTTCCCAAGAAACGAAGCAGCCGGGATACCGAACCCAGTCAGAGCGGGTGGGTGTGCACTCAAGTGTAACGGCTGGTTCATTTGCAGATGCCCTCACGGCTGATTGTGTGTGTATATATAGAGATGTTGGGTTTTGTAAATACATGCTATTTTTTGTGTATGACATTTTGCAATCAACAGACATCATAACATGTCATGTGTTCAAGTATCACACCTGCCTGTCTGTGTAATTACATAATGTGACAGAGACCGAACTCGGGCCATAAATCAATGCGTTTTGTTTATGGTGTATAGCCTGATAGGTGTTAAGTTCAAATTGCATGTGGTCAGTGATCGCAGTTGTGTATTGAATATTGTCATTAGCAGACAGGCAGGCAGACACACAGGTGTCAATCAAACAAGACATTGAGTTTTGTCTGTAACAACGACATATCTATATCACAGTTAGAAATTGTGTCAACGCTAAATAATGACATTGCTTTTAAGAATCGAACTGAGAAAGTGACTCCGTAAGAAAAACGTGTCGTGAAATAGACAAATGAAATTATATAAACAGTTTATTTACTGTCATAACATATAAAAGCTCGCGCCTGTGAGATATCAACAAAACATTATGAAAATAGCTCACACCAAAGCCTTCACCGAGTATTCACCGGACAGCCCGCTTCCACGGTTGCGCGAACCTATTTCACTGCGCACGTGCTATGAGCGCAGCCCAGCTGTTGAAACCAGTTTTCCCCGAAAGTCGGGGAAAATTAGTGAATCGTTTGAACTCCGATTTCGCGTGGTTTTTTTCATCGCG